TTTGACCAAGGTTTCTTTTTTTTTTTTTTTTTTTTTTTTTTTTTGTTTTGAAAGTTTTTTTTTTGACAGGGTTTGTAAAAATTATGTTTTTGTTTGGATATAAAAACCCCACAAGGGACTTTTCCCGATTAATATTTTTAAATAATAAAGAAAACCCCTTAAAGGGTACCGGGTAGAGGGTTTTGAGGGAAAAAAGGTAGAGCTAAAGGAAAAAAGATGGAGGGAAACTTTTTTGTTTGGTTTAAAGGATCAGGATTTGGTTCCGCCCTTTTCAGGGTTTGAAAGGTTACGCTGAAAGGGATAGCCCATAAATATTTTTTTTTTTGTTTTTTTCTTTTTTATCTATGTTTTAAAAATGTCTTTATTTTTGCATTGCTAGAGTCCCAAAAGGCCCGCAAAATTTAAAAAATTGGAAGGGTTTAAATTTAGCTACAGTTGGGGCCCAAAATTTTTTTAAACCCCCCCAATGCTTTTAAAGGGGTTTTTTTAAAGGGACAAAAGTGTACTTTTGGGGAATTGTATTCGGGAATAAAATCCTAAAAGGCCCTTTTTTTTTTAAATTTCCCAAAGGGAAAACCTAAAATGACACAATTGTTTATGAAATTTACAGAAAGTAAAGGGTTTTAAATTTTGGTTTTTTCTTGCCACAATTTTTCCCAACCCCCTTTAAAGACTAAAACTCTGAAGAACGGGAGGTTTTAACAGGTGCTTTCCATAAGGTTTTTGGGAAAAACCCCTGGGGATGTCCCCAAAAGCAGAAATTTCAAGCATAAAAAAGCCCCAATTGGGCAGTTTTAAAAATGCTTTTGATATTTCAGCCCCCCTTTTTTACATTTACTGGTGTGGTTACAAAATGGGGGGAAGGCAAGGAATGGCCCGGGAAAAGGGGAAAAAGGGAAAAGAGGTGATTTCTCTTCCGGGAAAGGGAAAAGGCTATAAAAAGATTGAAAAGATGTTAAACATACCAAGAAAACCTTGGGAAAGCATCTTTAGAAAAAAATTAAAGGAAAAAGGGCACTTTTTAAAAAACCCCTTCCTGGTGGGTTGGCAGAAAAAAGAGGGGCTAAATTTCCCAAATGCTGGGCGTTTACCTGAAGCTTTAAGAGTGGGAGAAGCCCCCGTGGGGGACTGCCTGAGGAAATGAAAAATGATTTGTCGATTTTGGGTACAGAAGTTTCGGGCCGGAAAATAAGACGCCCCCACTGCTTTTAAATAAAGGGCCCTTTCCGTGCCAGAACTCCCAGGGTACCCCCTTTTTGTGCCCTCCAAAGAATAAGAAGAGTCGATTGCGGGTATGCCAAAAGCCTTTGGGGGACAAACCCCCCAAAAAGTTGGGGGTTTAGTGTTTGTGGCCTGTTGAAACAAAATTAAAAACTGTTTGGGGCCCCATGGATAACGCTTTGTTTTTGGAGGGAAGAAAAAGGCCTAGTTGAAAAGAAAACCCCTTGTATTTGGAAGCATTGGTGGAGGGTCAATCATGCTTTTGGGGTCTTTTTCCCTTTAAAGGTCCCCGGGGAAGCTTCGGGCGTGTGAAAGGGTACCATGAATTCTTTCAGACCAGGGAGATTTTTGGAGGGAAAAAAGGTAGTTTGAAAGTCCGTAAACACACCTGGAGGTTTTGGGAAAACTTTGGCCCTTTTCAACATGGAAAATTGACCCCAAAGCATCCCTTTTCCCAATTTCCACTAGAAGCATGGTTTTGGCCAGAGGAAAAGGCCCTGGAACTTTTTGGGTTGGAGGGGCCCCAAGGAAAGGTCCCCAGATTAAAAAAGATTGGGGAACCTCTGGTGGGATTTTAAAAGAAAGATTTTGCAGGCGAAAAAGTTTAAGAATGGGGATAAAACGGGGAGGCCTTTGCCATGAGAAGGGGCCCGGAAGTCCCCTTTAGATCGCTGCAAGAAAACTTGGGGTAAAGATGCTTACGTTTTAAAAGGGGTTTAAAAACTTTTAAAAAAGGTTGCGTATAAGTACAAAGACTTGAATGTCAATTGGGGGGGGTTTGAAAAAAACTGTTTTAATGCTGTGGGCACAGAAAAGACATTTGGGGTTTTATTTCATTAAAAAATTTTTATCGTTATATTTTTCGGCCCTTAAAAGTGCCTTTTTTTAATTTGTAAATGTAAGAAAAGATGTTTTAATTGATAAAAAAGGCAATGTCAAACTCCCCCAAAAAACACTAAATTTCAGGGGGGGTTTTGAAAAATTTTGGGGCCCCAATTTGTTTTGTACAAATAAAAAAATTTGAATGAAGAAATAAAATTTGGATTTTTGTTCTATCTTCAGAGGGGATTAAATTTAAAGGATCTAGATAACTTCCATTTTTTATTTTGTTTCGCCATTTTAAGTATTAGTTAGTTTTTTGTAAAAGATTTTTAAAATTTTTTAAATTTAAAACTGTTTTGGGGTTTTTAAGGATGTTTTCAACGAAACTAAAATGTCCCGGGCCAAAGTTTTTTGTTTGGTTCTGTTTTCCAGGGAAAGTTAGCCAAAAAAAATTTTGTACCAAAATGTTTTTGGTTTTGTTTATGGGGGTTTAAACTCATTGGGTGGAAAGTTACAAAGGGTTTTCGTTTTGAAAATCCCCTCCCCTTTCCCCTTATTTTTATCTGAGTCCGATTTTAAATCTTATTAATGTTTAATAAAATTTGAAAATCTCTAAAAAACATTAAAACTGTGTGATTTCCCTTTTTCAAGGGGTGTTTCCCCGTAAATTTTGCTTAAAAACCCGGAATCTCTCCCAGGACTAGGGGTTTTTCGAGGGGGGAAAAGGGAAAAACATTCCTTTTAAGTATAAGGTTTATTATCGTATTTGGGTATTTTTACAAAACTATGGTTTTAAACCCGTTTAAAAATTTTCAGGGGTTAGGTTTTAGGGCCAAAGCGCATAACCCTGGGTGGGTTGGGTGGGGTTGGCTGGTTTTTGGGTTTGCTGCTTTTGGTTTAAGGCATTTAAAAAAAAAAAAAAAAGATTAAAGGTAGTGGAAATGAATAGGGGAAAAAAGTATGGGGTTTTTCAAAAGACACAAAAAAGGGGGTGAAAGGATATAAATTTTACCTGGGAAAATTTTTAATAATTTGTATATAAATGGGAGGTCTGGAAAAAATGTTGTGAAGCCTCAATATTAGAGTGTACTTAAATACAATGGTGTATTTAAATTATGGAGAAAAATTACTTTAAAAATTATTGTTATTTATACAGTGCTCAGCATAAATGCAGTACACCCCATTGAAAAGTAAGATTTTAATTTTAAAATCTTTAATGGGAAAACCCAAGGGGGCAATTTTTTAAAAAAATTTTTGGCCAAAAAAAATGAGTTTTAATAGAACATTTGTTAGCTTTTTTTCATGAAAGTAAAGGGTTTTAATATAAACTTTGATTACAAAAACTCCAGTTTTTTCTCAAATTGTTTGGGGGCAAAAATTAATACAGCCCAAAACCCCTAAATTAAAACTTTTTAGTATTTTTTTTTTATGACCCCCCATTTATTTTTTAAGGGACGCAACCCAAATTTATTAGGCAGGGGTTTAACAAGGGTTTGGGGGAAAATTGCAACATCTGTCTTTTTCCCTTTTTTCCCAAAAATGGAAACCCCTTTTTTGAGGGTGGATGTGGATGGAGGGTGTGTTTCTCAAAAATTTTTTCTCTTAGAATTTCCCCCTTAAATGTTTTGGGTTTTGGGTTTTTAGATAGGAGACATACTTGGCCACTGAATCAAAATTTTTCCCTGGTTTTTTTTTTAGAAATGCATCATGGCCCCTTTGATTTTGTGTTTTTTGGGTCATTGTTATGTTGGAAAATTTTCCCACGACCAAAGGCACGGGTGGGATGGTTTCTATCTTTCTTTCAAAAATAGGCAGAGTACCCTTTTGTGAATTCAAAGTACCAAACAATGGGAAAAGCAGTCCCCGAACCCAAGGGAAACCCCTCATGCAAAAAACAGAAGGAAAATGGCACCAATGTTTCATTGGGAAAGGCCCCATGAAATTTTTCTTTTACCCCCCTCCCTTTTTCGATGGCATTCAGTTTTTAAGCAATTTATTTCCAAAAAGGGTTTATTTTGGTCTCATCGCTCAAAGTACAGGTCCCGTGTCCCTTCTTTTTTTTTCAGTATGGGGGAATTTGGTTTAAATTTTTTTTTGGTGGGCATTTTTGTGCTTTTGGGGTTTTTGGCGAGGCTTCCTTCGTGGTTTTAAACCCCTTTCATGCCATTCCTCTGCAATGTACACCGGATTTTGTACGTCTCTGTAAGATGGTTTCAGTTTCATCTTTGGTAAATTTTTTGTATCGCTTTTTGCTACTTACTGATAAGTAAAGCTTTGCTGGTCTTCTTGTAGCCTTCACCTTTCTTCTGCAAAGCAATTATTTTCATTCTCAGGCCTTGTGACATTTCTCTTCCATGTGGTGCCGTTGCTGACAGAACGAAATGGGGAAGGGTTTTCTTTGTTAAGTAACTCCCTTTTATAATCAACTGTCTGCTGGACACCTGTTTAATGAACAGTAATTCTTGGTAATTAGGATTATGTTGTCTAAAATTTAGCTTTGCTCCTAAGACTTTTTTTGCTAGGAAATATACTTTTTTGTGTGTGCAAATTAATAAATCTTGTTTTAAATCAATGTCCTGCATTGGTGGGAGTATTTTATAGTATAGTTTACCATAGAAAATGTTGCTTCTGAAAGAAAAGTAAAGGATTTCTGGCAAATTTGTTGGGGTGTACTCATTTATGCCAAACACTGTAATTTAATTTAAATCGTTTGAAGGGATTAGGTTTCAAGAGGGCAAGTGATGTCTTTGTTTGTTGATAAACACATAATATATTGTCAAAAGTATTGGACACCCTTACAAATCGTTAAGGTGTTCCAATCACCTCCATGGCCACAGATGTATAAAATCAAGCACCTTGGCATTCAGACTGGTTCTAAAAACATTTGTGAAAGAATGGGTCACTCTCAGGAGCTCAGTAAATTCAAGTGTGGTACTGTGATAGGTTGCCACCTATGCAATAAGTCCATCCGTGAAATGTCCTTGCTATTAAATTTTCCTTGGTCAACTGTTAGTGATATTATAACAAAGTGGAAGCAACTAGGAACAACATAAACTCAGCCACGAAGTGGTAGGCCACGTAAAATGAGAGAGAGGGGTCAGCGCATGCTGAAGCGCACAGTGCACAGAAGTTGCCAACTGTCTGCAGAGTCAATAGCTAAAGAACTCCAAGCTTCATTTGGCCTTCAGGTTAGCACAACAACAATGTGTAGAGAGCTTCATGGAATGTGTTTCCATGGCCAGGCAGCTGCATCCAAGCCTTGCAAAGCGTTGGATGCAGTGGTGCAAAGCACGCCCCCACTGGACTCTGGAGTGACGAATCATGCTTCTCTGTCTGGAAATCTGATGGATGTGTCTGGGTTTGGCGGTTGCCAGGAGAACGGTACTTGCCTGAATGCATTGTGCCAAGTGTAAAGTTTGATGGAGGAGGGATTATGGTGTGGGGTAGTTTTTTAGGGGTTGGGCTTGGCCCATTAATTCCAGTGAAGGGAACTCTTAAGGCATCAGCATACCAAGACATTTTGGACAATTTCATGCTCCCAACTTTGTGGGAACAGTTTGGGGATGGCCCCTTCCTGTTCCAACATGACTGCTCACCAGTGCACAAAGCAAGGTCCATAAAGGCATGGATGAGCGAATTTGGGGTAGAGGAACTTGACTGGCTTGCACAGAGTCCTGATCTCCATGCGATATAACACCTTTGGGATACATTAGAGTGGAGACTGCGAGCCAGGACTTCTCGTCCGACATCAGTGCTTGACCTCACAAATGCGCTTCTGGAAGAATGGTCAAACATTCCCATAGACACACTCATAAACCTTGTGGACAGCCTTCCCAGAAGAGTTAAAGCTGTTATAGGTGCAAAGGATGGTCCAACTCAATACTGAACGCTACAGACTAAGACTCGGATGCCATTAAAGTTCATGTGTGTGTAAAGGCAGGCGTCCCAAAACTTTTGGCAATATAGTGTATGTTATATACTGTGGGTTATGAACTATTTTAAAATTAAGAAAACTGGAGTCAAATGTTTGGTTCATGTGAAATATGTATATATATATAATTGAAAAAGAAAGTTTCATAAAGATTATCTGATAAAAAAAACAAAAATCTAAAGTCACTCTTTTTCAAAAAGTAGCCCATAAGCAATTTTATGAAAGTGTTTCAACTTGACTGGACATACATTTTAAGGGACCAGCAGGCATTTGCATGAAATGTGGTATCACCATTATTGTCTTTAACTTTACTGCATTGCTAATTGCATCTTTGTTAAAGTGGTTATAAAGGCAGAAGTGTTTTTTACCTTAATCCATTCTATGCATTAAGGTGAAAAAACCTTCTACATGCAGCTCAGACCCCAGCACCCCCCCCCCCTTATACTTACCTGAGCCCGATCTTGATCCAGTGATTTGCACGAGAGCAGAGGCTCTCTCTGCTCTCTCGCTCCCCATGTGCTCAGAGATAGCAACGGAAGCCATTGGCTCCTTCTGCTATCAATCACAGCCAGTGGTGAGGAAGCAGGGGGCATGGCCGAGTCCCGCTGTCTGTGTCAATTGGCACAGACAGTGAGGCTCACAAGCAAGTCCGCACAAGTGCCCCCATAACAAGTGGCTTGCTATGGGCGCACTCAGTGAGAGGGAGATGCCAGGTGGTAGGACAGGGACCTGAGTAGGGAAGGGAAAACCTGTGCACAGAGCAGGTAAGTATGACATATTTGTTATTTTAATGAAAACAAATTACGTGTAGAACACTTTAAAGTATCAGTACAGGCAAAACTTTTTTTTTAGCTTTGGACAGAGTGGAGAGAGATTGCATCCCAAATTTTGGGTTGTCCAGAACAGTATTAGAGGAGAAAACACTAGTTCTGGTGACCCTGTTGACAACCAGGGATTCCTTCAGTTTGGAGGGATTTTTTCACTTCCTGCTTATCCTAGCAATGGGACAGGAAATAAAGGGTTAAATTGTATATAAACAAAACAAAGAGGAATGAGACTGGGTGGAAGAGTGAATGCTCATTACCTCTCAAGATAAATATGTCTTCAATTTGTTTCAGCAAGTAATAGAAGGAGACATTGGACTGCAGTCCATGGATTTTATGGCACCACATCAAAGTTTCCTTAAAAATATACAATCTTCATGTATGTTGTACTCCAGAGGTGGTATTTAGAAAAGTGGCCTCTTTCCGAGACAAGCTCACTTAAAGTCATTACATACCAGGTGAAATTAAGAAAAACCCAAGGATATTTTCAAATGTGGACAGAGCTCCCTTTGCCCCTTGGTTAGCCAAGGGATATATTTTGCACTGCTAAATGGAGAACGCTTTACTCCCAATTTTTTCACTGATTGCAGCACCCAGGGAGTTATATACTTGATAAGTGTGTGTGTTTCGTTTGGAGTGTTCTATGTGGGAAAAAACAATATGGCAATTCAGACAACACATCAATGATCATGTATATTATTCATCCAATTGAAAGATGGTGACTCCAGTTAGCCACCACATGGACATTCAGCACCATTTTGATGGTAATGTTGCACAATTTATTATTTCGGAGGTGATTAAAAGAGATCAACATGGTGGCAAATGAGATCAATGTATACTCCAAAAGGAGGCCCTATGGATTGACTACCTAAATGCAGTTTATGTTCTTATAAGCCAAGTCAGATCCTCCTATGTATTGAAGTAAAACCTCAATTAACCATTACACATGCACTTGTTGATCTATGGATTTTTCCTGGGTAATTTCCCTTTAATATCAGTAACAACAGTTTAGTGATATACACACCCTAAAACTGTTTGGGCTTGAAAAATTCTTTCTGGGATAAAAAGTTCCATATACTGTATGCTAGTGTATAGCCATCATGTATTATTGCTTTTTCTATACATTTTTTCTATCTTGATTGTGATAATTGTGTTTGTCATTGTGCTTGAGCGGATTTGTCCCATGTGGGTGCTCCATTTGGATTGACTCGGACCATTATATTCTCAATTGGGCCATATTCTGAACACTTTATAGAAAGGTGGAGTCCACTTTTATTTTTGGTGTTCCTCCTCTTTCTCCCCTTCCCCCTCTCCCCTCGCTGTTGGCCATTAGCCAGGCCGTATGGTGTCTGACTTTCTTGTATATTGTTGATTTTTTTGGGGAAGTATGGCTGTCCCGGTTGATTTAAGTGTAGATCAGGCTTGGTCTGTCTATTTGGTGCTGTTTTTATGAGCGCTGCTTGGTGTACTCTCCCACCCTCTGAATCCACCAGTGGAATTCCTTAGTTGGAAGCTGTTGTCTATCCCTCTGAGCATGCGCAGGGCTTTCGGAATACTCCCTGGAAGGGCATGCACTGTGATACAACTTAGACCGCATAGTCATGCCCTGGCCTCTTGCCAGGATGCCTTACAGGCTATTGTGGGTTGGCCCTGTGTACCTTGTTGCATGTAGGCTTAAGGCTGTCAGTAATTTGATGTTATTGTTCTGTGTGTGGTGGGCACCTTGGTGCTGCCGCCGAGACAATTTAAAGTCCTCTAGCCACTGGTTGCCAGTGAACTCGGCTGTGGGATCCCAAGCGTGATGGCGGATTGGTATATATATGGTAGCTGTGAGATTGGTGGCAGATAATGGTGTTTTTGTGAATGTAAATTCCAGCCTACATTTTTCTATCTTGTTTGTTATATTCATATATCTCTGTGGACTGGCTGCTTTGGGCTCTGTCCTATGTGTATATGTGTAGTGGACCCCCAGATTACCACGGATGATTACTAATGAATGGTAAGAATTATGCCCTCTGGTCTGGAAGTTGGACTGCTGGGGTTCATATAATCTGTAATACTTAAACTTTACCTTCTTGGTTTATTACTTTTCCTTCCCTTTTCCTTTTCTTCTTCCCTATAGTGTATTATATTCTTTCAAAATACCTACTGAAATTTTGGAGATACTTCTAGCTGTTTTATTAACCAGAACAGGTAATATGCCTCTAAAATCCAGCAATTAGTTTTTGTTTCTTTTTTGGCTGATGTCTGTGATTTGAGCTGAGTGTTTACCATTCCACCAGTCTTTTTTAGATTGGACTATTTTCTTCCTCCTTTCTTTCTTTCCTATCCTTATGCTTTGTGGGATCTGGTGAGGGTTTGGGTTAATCCTTGTGGAGCACCAGCAATGGGAAAGAACCCTTCACTGATGTTTGTAAGTACAATGACATTATTTATTGTAGAACTGGAATTCGAATACACTGTTTATATTGTTTGTATCATGATATTTTACTATGCACTATTATTATTGTCATGTGTCTTATTCTCTAGATAGCAATACAATCTATACACTTTTTTCTCCTGAAGAAGTGGAATAAGAAAGCAAAAGATGTCGAGCTTCATGTGGATGGATGGTGGCACCCTGTGTTATATATACTAATCAGAGAATTACTGTTATATGCCTGTAATTAGGGTATTGCAAGCCTTCTTTATAGTGTAGCCTGCGGCAGTGGGGACATGACAGGTTTCCCTTTCTATGCCACCCAGGCACTCCTGCTGGTGGGGCGTTCTCTGCATCATGGCCGTCACACGCCATTATGGTGGGAATGCCCTGGGCTGGGGCTCATAAAAGTGATGTTGGCTGGCGGGCATTGGTAATGGACTCTCTACTGTGGCAGTGTTAAGGCGTACTGGGCTGTCCTTAGGAGGTGGACATTTGCTATATCCTATGAGCAGGTATATTTTGAAGCGCTTGTGTTGCCTTGTACCTGCTAATGTTTTTGATTGGTAATAATTGAGGAATTTTAATACATTGGCTACATTATTTGAGAGCACTATATATGTCTTACAGTTGAATTGGCCTCTATTAGGAGGCAAAGGACTGGTTCGGCCTAAGGATGATGGTACATTCCATAGACATTTGAATGTCAGCTGGACATATTACATGGACAAGCCATATGCATTGAATCCTTTTTTGCAGTTGATCAAGGTAATTTATTTTTCAGCCTTGGGTATGGTGTTCTTCTAACTTTGGCCTCTTGGTGAGATATATATATATATATATATATATATATATATATATTAGTGATATAACACCTGTGGTGGCACCATTCACTCTCGCTTATGTTTTCGGTCCTCTATAGGTCTGTTGTGCTGTGTGTCATAACCTCACAATTTTGTGAACGTTGTTTGGATAACGCATTCCATCCCTAGGTGTGAGTAAATACTACCTGGACCAGTGGGATATATGTGTTACTCTTGTTTCTTACTCTTGCGTATATGATGATCTTTATTTATCCAGCCACTTGCATTGTACCCCCACACCTGTTATGGGACTTTGGTTGTCATCTAGCTGTG